TTTTTTTTTTTTCAGGAGCTCACTTGTGGGGATCAAGTCTGCAAACAAATTTATAAAAGGACTCTGTGATTAAACTCACAAAGTGAAGTGCATTGTGTGTTTATTGTCTCGTTAACTGACATCATAACACAACAAAAAACTATATATTTTCCTTTTTATATTCTAGAATGATGCACAATACACTCTCTACAATCCTAAAGTGTTTTATACTAAAGCTTTCTTAGGAATTTAAAGCTAGCTTTGTAGATATTTATCAAACAAAATGCTAGTCTTTCCACATGCAGATTCATTTCATGTTGCCATAATGAAAATGGCAAGCTTTCTCACTTTCTAAAACATGGTGATAACAGATGTTGAGATTCAATTTCTCTGCTTTAAAAAGGCAATAAAAGTAGAGGGAGGTTAAATAACTTTTATAAAAAGATAAAGGAAAGAAGTAGACGTATGAAAGGAATGATTGTTTTATAGTAAAGTGGGGAGGGAGGTGTTAACGTTTTGCAACGGTGCCCTTCGGCTTCCAGTATCACAGAACCAAAACATGTCTGCCAGTACAGTAAATACATGACGTTGTTTAGACTTGCTCTATCTTGAAGTGTCCTTGTTGGCACCATCTGACAGACAACACACATCATGTTAGCACTAGATGTTTTAAACTAATGCAACGTGTGCACATGCAGCATTTCTCTCTGAGGTTTTGCCCAACGGATCAGCATGACTGTAATACTGTGACCTAAATTGCAGAAATTAAGCATGATTTCATGCGCACTCATGTGTTTTTCACACACTGTCAGACTTCCCAAGCTGATTGGCAATTGAAGTAGAAGCTGAGGAAAGATCTCATTCAAACCCTGGACTTTGTAAACTATGTACTTCCTTTGACTGCATGACCGTGCACTGTGATTACTCAGGAGGAGGTGGAGAGCTGATCGATTTCTTTCTGGAGGGCGCTGTCCACAAAGAGCACCATCACTGCTCCAGAAAAGCCTTTTTGATTTTCCTCCTTCTGTGACATGAAAAAAAAAGAGAGTTGGGGTTATCTTTCATTCTTTTAATGCATCACAAAATCTCATGAGGTCATGAGCAGAGAAAGATCGTCCAGGGTTACTTATAATTGTTGGCTGGTTCATTTTGAAGATGTTTTCATTGATCATTGCTGTTATCTTCTACAAGCATTAAATAAAGCATCTAACCCGTAGTTTAAGTAAAACTCACTTTGTTTTCTGTAAAGAACTTTGTAACTTGTTTTATAGTTGAAAATTTTTGCAAAATAAATGAGTGCAGCATAAATAACTGAATAATCTGTAAATTATTATTATTATTATTATTATTATTATTATTATTATTATCGCTGCTAATGCAGCTTAAAGCATGTTGGAGCTTACAGCCGTGCCACTCGCATGTTTCGTCTGATCTCAGAAGCTAAGGAATGTCGGGGCTAGTTAGTACTTGGATGAGAGACCTCATAATACCAGGTACTGTAAGCTGAAGGTTGGTGGTTCAATCCCTTCAGCTGTCTGAATGCTATAGTATTCTTTAGCTAGGTGCTGAACTTCAAGTTGCTACCTAGTGTGTCCATTTGTGTGTAAATGTTAATAGAAAAGCACTTGGGGATAGAAAAGGTACTTGTATGAATGGGTGAATGAGGATGTCAGTCTATTTATTGTATATTGTAGAACCTCAATTGGACCACAGGATGATGCTATGAAACTAATCAACTAAGGAAAGACAGTGACTCAAAACAAGATCTGCTGTATAAAGAGTTCATTGATTCAGCATTTCAGAGCAGAATGCTACCTTTTTGTCGGTGCCAGCCAGCACACAATCAATAAGGGACAGTAACATTTGGAAAAAAGCTTTTAAAATGAGTAGCAACAATGACTGAAAACCAGCCTGCATGCAATTCATATAGCAAAACATCCAACAGGGTACAGTCAGTGTAATGGAGATTGAAGCACATAATCTATTCTGCAGGAAATACAGCTACAAAAAAAGAAAAAAGAAAGAAAAGACATGATGGGTCAATTAATGAAAACAAGGCCTGTATGTGTAATGATTACTAGAAAAGGGAGTTGGGTTTTTGAGAACAAATCCACACAAGGATAACCTCTCAGCTTAACAGCTTTAGTTCCTGAACTGAGATAAGCAAGATTTTCAGGGACAACAGCTGTCAATCAAAGCTGTCATCATAACCCTGTCAGACCACAGTTTTACAATTTTAGAAGTTATTAAATAAAATCAGACTTTTGGGAGAAGTGACCCATTGACCACACGAACTACTTAACATGGAAGAATGTGTCTGTTATATGTATATCTGAGGTGGACTTTAGTGTTTTACTTAACCCCCCTGGCCCATACGCTAACATTGAGTGTGTGGGGTTAATAGCCTTTACGGAAGCCAGACACCAGGGGGCGATAGAGACGTCATTTTTTCCACAGTCAAAGCACACTGGTTGGAAGTGAACTGAAATGTAAAAGACTAATAACACCAGGAGGGGGCAGTAAGCGGAACCTGTGGATACCAATTGAAGCAAAACACTGAAGAAGAAGCGGCGGACTCGTTGGTTTGTTGACGCATTTATGCCGCGAGTTTAATTTTGTAGCTATCAGACAGTTATCTCTGAGCAAATAGCTTAAAAATCAGTTTACAGGTTACATGTCGTTTTTTCAGCAGTAGTTAACCTTCAGTTTGTGACTTCCCTTTTTGCCGACTGTGTTGTGGTTGTCTGGGAAATATTCGGTTTGGTTTGTCAACAGTTCTGCTTGAAAATGTCAGTGGATACAGAGGAAACTCACCAGGTAAGTGTTTCAGTTTGCTTCACTGCTTGCCTGTTTGGCGAATATTAGCTAACACAAAGGGTTTGTTGCGAAAGCTACTACACAGGACCGTTATGATGTGTTTTAACGTGATGTGTTTTGGGGTTTTAGAGGTTAAAAGCTGCAGTTCATTACACAGTGGATCGTCTCTGCCAGAAGATCGGTGAAGACCACCGGAGACCGTTAAGCCGACAAGCTATAGCGGCAATAGCTGAGACGACATTCAGACAGTGTGGTAGGTGTTCAACTAATGAGGACATTCTTTCACTGACCACTTTATTAGGTATACCTGATTTCTAATCAGCCAATCAGATTGCACCAACTTAACGTGTGTACACTAGAATTGGGGGGGGTTAAGTGTCTTCAAACGTGATGTGGTTAGTTTTCCGAGTGTTTCAGAAACTTCTGTGATTTTTTTTTTTTTCTCCGCACACAGCCATCTCAAGCGTTTATAGAGAATGGTCTGAAGAAGAGAAAATATACAGGAAGGCCATTTCCCTGAGTGAATATGCTTTGTTGGCCAGATCCCTGGCCAGATTGCTTTGAGGTGAAAGGAAGGCAACAATAACACAATGCCCTCTCATTTCAACTAACATATGCAGAAGCGCATCAGCACAGTATATCAAAGTAGACGGGCTACAGCAGTAGAATACCACACCACCTTTCGCTCTTGTCAGCTAAGAATAGGGATGGGTATCGTTTAGGTTTTATCCGATACCGGTGCCAAACC